TTCAGGCACGGATAGCCTAAAATCACCACTTTTTAGGTACATTAAGAGCACACACATGCAGGATTGCACCCTTAATGCACCTTACATTGGGCTAAAGCACTTTAAATTGGCATGTGTAGATGCACCCACTATGTCCTTTTAAAACTCAACACTGTGCACAGCCAGGTGAATTACCTTTCTGATGAGTAATTTTGAAAGTGCAAATTTATTTTGACTTTCCCTGTCTTATTGTACTATGCAATCTAAAAATAATCCTTCTCTGATAGACAAAAGACAATGAACATTAAGCACTCCTTTGATGCAGTCTTGGCAGTAATGGAATAATCTTCCATGAGAAAAATCTCTCTGACATTTTGATTTCTTGAATGTCAAAACATGATCAGATTCAAAATAAAGCTCAGTTGATTTGCAGAAGCCTGCAAGTTTTAATATGATAGGTGGGTAGATAGGTAGAGAGAACTCTAACAGATTTGTGACATATATGTACAAAAGCTTGCTGTCTTATCAGATCTACAGGATTATCAATAATTCAATTTTGGCCAAATGTTTTTGGGATTTTTGGGGGGCATCATGAATGGTAGTTGAAACAATGACTTTTATTGCCTTGAGTGGAGCAATGACACTAACATTCTGCATGGAAATGAACTGATGAACTCCAAAATCAACCATTAAAATTTTGCTCAACATTATGTGCCAATAAAAAAACCCAAACAAACCAAGAAGCTGGCAAAGGGAGCATTATGCTCATAGTAGACAAGCTCAGCAGGCCAGATTTTCTGCCGGTATAAATCAGAACTTGCAAATTCTGGACTAGATCTCAGGCCCTTAACCTAAGCATGTTTTATTACTCTGAGAAAACAAACAGAGGTTGATGGGGTGGAGATTGCTGGAAGGGAGGGGGGCGAATTAGAAGCCCCTGACTTGGAGAGCATGGGCCAGACCCTCCTATTCTGTCTTTGCTGCTCAGTGGTTTCCTTCCACTTGCCTCTTCCTGCATTTTTCTGCCTTAACTCCTCTATTCACTGCCCCCTCTCTTTCCCCCATGCAGTACCCATGACCCATACCACCCCCTGCAACCTTACCTGGTCTTCAGTTGCTGCCCCTATCACCTCCCTGGCTGGCAAGACATGGCAGCTGCAAGCAGCAGGCTACTAACTCCCTATTTGTGACACTCTATTCTGACCTGGATTCCATCAGAAACAGTAACAGCAGGGGATGAGAGCCCGCTTGATGACTTGCTATTTCTCCGCTGGCCTGAAGGCAGAAAAGCAAGGAACCCTGGCATGTGTGGCATTCCAGTTGAGTGGTTCGGGTATGGGGTGGCATCACCAGCTATATGAACAACATGCGAGATGCCTGATAGTTGTTGCCCTTGAGATGCAGAAACCAGTAGATTCCATGTGCATTCTAATTAGATCTTAGTGAAGAATGCAGTGATTTTCCCCATGAAATACCATATTTATTTGCATGCCATACATCCCCAAATAAAAATACACACCCTGCTTTGGGAAGGCAGAATGAAGAAAGGGCTTTTCCTTTTAAAAATGATTGGGACCAGTTTTCTTGTTTAAGACATGGACTCCTATTTTTGTGAAAATGGTGAGTCTACCGTGTGAATAAATAAGGTGTTCATTCAAATTTAAAATAAAGTAGTTTTGACAATGTTTTTGCCCTTTTTCCCCATTCATTCTCTCTGACCACTAGGACAGCTGAGGCTTACTAGCACAAATGTTTATGCAAAAGCAAATTTCCAGGTTCTGTGCACACATATTTCCATGTTGCAAGTATTTATGTTAGCAGTGCTTGGATGCTCAGCTAATCAAGGAAAAAACAATGGTACCATTTTAAAGAAATCAACTAGGATCAGCAACACAGTTCACATTCCAAATATCTCATCAATTCTGTATTTCCATTATACACCTAACACTAATCATAAAATTCAGTTACTGTTCATAGATTTGCAGGCTATGTCTAGAGCAGGTAGCAGGACATTATTATCGATAAAATATATCTTAACACAAGGACTTGTAACCTCTGGCCTGCAGGCCAGATCTTGCCCACCAAATAATGTCATCTGCCCCGTGAAGCCTGGATATTGATGACATTTTGGTGGTGGGGGTATTCAACAGTGGGGTGATTTTGCAGCAGTGGCCAGGTTGGGCATGCCAACCTGCCACAGATGAAGCTGCATTATTCTGGCTCACTGATTCTGTAAGGTTCCCAGCCCCTGGCCTAGCAAGTTACAGATGAGGAGTAAAGTTTTAGACATGGATTCATATGCTTTTTGATCTGAAACATAATAGGGGATGGATAAAAACTGGAAGTGGAGCCTAGGGCACCTGACATGATACTGGACTGAGAAAGGGAAGCTGAGTAGATGCTGGAAAGAAAGACTGCCCAAATTTGGTTCTGTAATGCCATTTTGAGGTAATGGATTTCCTCTCTGCCAGTCCAAGTAACACCTGGCCCCTAAGTGCTGGCAACAACTTTAATCCTGAATTTATTATGATGAAACAGGCACTGCATGCGGAAGTAGAAAATCCTCCACAGGCCACAAAAGGATGGCAAATTCTATGCAAATGTTAATGCAGCTCAATGAATGGACAAACCTTTCTGGCTCTTTATAGACCCACCAGTGGGGTGGAGGATGGGACAGTCTCCTTTATGGTAATTTGCAGGATTCCAGCACTCTTTACTTAGTGGCAACTGGTAAGCCCCTGCCAAACTCCATCCAGCACTGCTGGTTTCAAGAAAGTTGCCTAATATACTGTAGCAGAGAAAAGTTTAAAATGTTTGGTACCTGATGAGATTGTTGTTTTGCTGGCACAATTCTGCTAGCTTCAGTGTTACACCTGCTGGGCACTTGGCCCAATATGTCAGTAAGTGTTGCGCAGTGGCAAATGCTTACTGCAACATAAAATTGCTAAATTTAGGGTAAATGTTTGATGCAGTATGCCGGGAATTAAATGCCGAGCTCCCATTAACTTTAATGGGAACAAAGGACTAATTCCCTTGGCACTAGGCTGAAAACATACTCCAGAAAATCTGCACAGCTGCTTTACTCATTTCCCTTTTAGAAGCTGTTTCACACCTCTAGACACAGCTTATAAAACAAAGTACTTTACTATCTAGGAAGATTGCATGCTAGTTTCTAGCACAAAATGATTCATATCTATCTCATTTGTCAAGGGGGACACAGCAGTGTTTTATATTTCATACAAACACCTACAGCTGATAGGTAGCATCTCTCATAAGGTATTTCTAAATGTCATCGTTATTCAAACACCTAGGAGAGCCAGATTCCCCAGGCCTCCCTACCTTGTTGCTATAGAGATTTACAAACATATAGTGGAGATACCAATCACTTATGTCTTCCTTACTACAAAATAGGCTGCTCAGTTCAAAAGCCTGGTATCTTCAGTAAAAGTAACCACAAGAGCAAGTCACATTTAAATTATTTAGAGTTAATTTATGTGTATGTGTGTGTGTATATATTATATATATACATATATGAAAACAAACCTTGAGGTTTCCTTTTTCCTTCCCTCTCCCTGCCTCTGTTTTCTTTTTCGGATATTTCTGATGCAAAAAAACAAAACAAAAGAAAAAGAAAGAAAGAAAAAAACCCCAACTCCGACACAACAACCTATCAGGAGTAGCAAGTCTGGTCTTCTCAGGTTTTTCAAGGGCAATCACTGAAGGTTTCAAATGTTTGGACTGTGAACTGTCTGAACTGTAAATTGAAGGTGAGGGATTTGAATGTTTAACAACTCTCGTCTCCCAATGTTTTCTTCAGTTTTTTGTGTTAGAGAGATGCTGACAAATTATTTTAAAAAGAGCTTATTTTTAGGCTTTATTTATGCACCAATGAAGTAGAGACAGCAGAAATCCACTTCAGCCTTCCTCAGGTGCCAAAACTCTCAATTCAAACATCTGCAAGATTAATGGATATCTGGGATCCTGATGTACATCAGAATTTTGCATCTGTCCCTACATTTAATAAAGAAGGAGAAGTGGGGGCTGAAGGGAATGGGGTATTAGGAATTTTTGCTTTAAAAATAAGGGTCCTACGCTACAAATTTTATATGCACGAAAGATAGCATCTACTGTTACAGGAAAGTAATTGAATCAGTGGCCATATAGCAGCTAATGCTAGTATAGTATAGTAATATATTTTCACCTGTTACCAAGGGGACACATATCAACTGCAAGAGCAGCATTCAGATCTACCCATATTCTGCCTGAAGCTGGTTTAATGGGCTGCACTTGCTCACAATCTGTTTTTGCTAAGAGAAGGAATAATTTATACAGACATACTGTACACAAGGCACGCTGCTTTGGTTAGGCTACTGTATTTCCTTGTGGGCACACACGTGTAGATTACACTCACATCTCTGCGGGGATTCAGCACTGGTCTCTGCACATTCTCCATGGCTTTCCAAAGGAGATAAAAATTGGTATAATCTTTTACCATGTGCTTCAGCTACTGTCCGCACTGAAGGTTTCCTGGCAAGTACATATTTTCAGTGCTGATCAGGTCTTTGTCCTATGTTTTTCACATGGCCATAAAGATAACATCCAGAAATGTAGTTCTACAATGCAAAATGCATGTTACTAGGTCTAGTCTAGTCTAGTATTTCACTCTTACCATCATGTCTGTCATCTTGAATGCATTTCTTCCTAACTTTAAAAATGGTAGGCTAAGGGAAGAAGCTGGCTACAGCAGTACTGCAACCTCCTTCATTGGAGTCTTCTCCTGAAGAAGAGTCTGGATAAGCATCTGTCTGGGATGATCTGGGAACAACAAATTCTGTGTCTGTCCAGATGATCCTTCAGGTCCCTTCCAACCCTATGAAGCTATGCTCTGACAAGTGCTTTATTGTTCAGTACATTTAAAATATGTGGCTGAGTAACCATCTAAGTAGTCTATACTTTGGTGTTGTTTATAGACCACATACTGCACATTCTGGCGTAACAGGTGTAGGTATTTTTTGCTTGGCTTGGCTAAAATGTTACAACAATACTAAAGTCCACTGGCCTTTATTCTGTTTCCTAGATTGACACAATGAATTACAGGCTAATATGAAAGACCATGTTACCCAACTCATCAGAAACACACATCTCTTTTATGGATCTTTACTGGAAAATTAAATCTTTATTGGGTGCAACAATTACTTTTACAATAGAACTAGATCATTTGAAAGAGGAACATTTAATAAATTTGCCATTTACTACTGTATTACAATTTATGGTCCTGAAGACTAATTAATATTTCATTGTCTCACATCTCAAAAAAAATTACAAAAATAACCACAAAACTATAGAAGACACTTTTTTTTCCCTAAGACTAGCTAGGAGAAAACCACAGAAGGCAAGCTTCTGGGAATTACAGGCAGCCGTTCTGCATTTAATTTGATAAGCCTTATAGTGCTCTTTCCTATTGATTGTTCTTACCCTTATGAAAGAGTCACAGTTATTAGTTGACAAGGAGAAGGTGAAGGAGGCAGGGTTTCATGACTCAGCATGTAAATTAAAGTGATCTGTGGCTTGTTTTTCTAATTTGTTTACTTTCTCCAACAGTAAAACAGAGCAAAGTGAGCTTGTCTTTATTTCCCTGATCACAGCTTGCTCATTTATTTTTAACACTGCTATTGTCCTTGCAGGCTGTTTCCTAATACCTCTTCTACTGTCAAGTTACTTCCCACCTGCTTGACTTCAATACCTGCTGTTCTTGTCACCTAAGCCTGCTTGTGTTTGCTCAGACTCCCTTTTGCTTAACTTCCCTCTAACTTGTAAAGCCTGTCATGCAAAGTTTAACTGCCAACCTTTGTGTTGTATAAAGCACCGGTGACCCTGTTGTAGTTAGTGATTATTTTACATATGAACCTAATTATTAGAACCTGGTTGGTGGTTCACTGATTCCACAGGTCCCCCGGGTTACAGTCAGAGAGGAGAAGAAAAGTCTTTATCTAGTTGCTGGGGAATGCTGAGTGAGGCTTTCTACAGGCATCCCCAGTTTCAAGGATGGGGTTATCTTCAGCAAAAGAGCTTCTGTCTTCACCTCCCTCATTGCCACACAGAATTGTTGGGCTGGTTGCAAGGGACCTTGGGGTACCTGTTGATTTAGGTGTTAATCTGTGCAGATATTTGGGGATGTTAAATTAGGCAAAAAATGGCTGGCCTGATCTAAATTAGTTCACCTGAAAAGGTGAACAAAGTTAGATCAGGAACAGGTTAGCCTGATCTAATGAGTGTCTGTACATGTTCAGAGTGCAGCCCCAGGGCTGCACTTTTCCAGCTTCCGCCTTCCCCCCAGATGCTAAGTTGCCTATTTTTAGCTCCCCAACCACTGCATCCCCAAATGGACAACCTCCTTATCCTTGGATGGGCAACACCCCCCATGGAGCCACCAA